GATTCTATGATTCTATGATTCTACTTCCCAGTAAGAAGACACTCTTCAGAAACTTTTCTAGGGGCAACAAGTCAAAGAGGGAGAAGGAACTGTCTTAATCTTTCTCTTTATACACAAGCATCATTTATAGGAACTTGCAAAAACTGTTTGCTCAATACCTCCATTAAAATATGAATACATAGAGCTTCACATCACTCTGCGAATTTGCCCATTTTTCACAATGAAAACTGAGTGGGTTTAATTTAAAAAATTATGGCTAAGTTCTAACAGGACAGGTTATTTGATACTAAATAGCTAGTTAATGGTACTGAACTGAAAGTGTCTGAAGCATGAAAGACATCTTCTATGAAGGCACTTACAGCAGAATGGAAACCTTGAAGATTTGGTGTGAGAACAGGATACTGGACTCCAGGATGGCGCTCAATGCCCCTCATTACTTCTTTGTGATCTGCCATCTAAAATGTATAAATAATTCATATCGATCAGCAGTTATTTTACAATTTTATATAGCTAAGCAGAAATCGTCTAAGACTGTTTTTTGTCTTAATTAAGTATACAGTTCATACAGTGAGTGTAGCAACAAAGGTTTAAACAGATGTTCTTTTGGATCTTTGTTGATGATCTTTTGGATTTCTTAACTTCTGAGTATTTGAGTTGCAAGCTTTCCAGTTCTATATAAATACAAAATTTGGGCAAAGATTTCTATGGTGTTTCTTTTTGTCTTTATTTGTAAAAACATCATTTGCATCATAAATTGATAGGCTTGTGAACATGCTGATCATCAGCTGTTACTGCAACTTTAAACTTACCTCAATGGACTCAATAGGTGGAATTAACAGAATAACTGACATTTTTAAACAACCTAAATCTTGAGAACTTCAGCACTCTGATAAATGCGACTTCATAGTCTTGAGAAAAAGTGAACCTGAATCACTCAACACTGTAATCAGCATATTTGAAAAGACTAATCAATTCTATCCTTGAAAATATAGTAAACCCAGATCTATGCGTAGTGTAGTATTTTAATATACTTAGACATTTCTTTCAAAAGAAGAAAATACCTTCTTATTATAGCAAAGGTCAAAGATCATTACTTTATTAGCACTCAGTCGCCCCCCACAAAAGAAAATCTTTAAGATATTCTCACAATTTTCTCACTCAAGATCAAATATACTCCATGAAGTAATCAAGATGAATCAAAGACTTATTCATATAATAACCACAGATTATTTACACAAGCACACTTTCTTGAAAGAAGTGGAGGAAAGATGAGTTTATTTTTTAACGGTGTGCATGCCTAGAAACAACACAGTAAATCCCTCATGTTTCAACTCTTACAGATTTTGAGTTTTAAAAAATGAATATTGTACTTTAAATTCTTTCATAAAAGCAATACTTCCAAGCAAACAATATTAAATTGGATTTCTGCTTCTTTCCACACTGATGGAAAAAGTAATTTGCTGAGTACTATATGAAAAAAAATGTATGAACTACAGAGCTTTCATTACTCTCTATTTTCAGTAGATACTTTATTGATAGCTTTGCATTACCACAGCTCTATATGTGACATTAAATTATACCAGATTATTACATGACAATACTACTGGCAACCTGGAATCGTCTTGTCACTAGTTTTATTATATAAATGAGTGGATTAAAGATATGAGGAAAATGCATGTATGCCTCCTCAAATATAAGCCCAACATGTATCTATAAGGAAGTGGATACATGAAATGTGTCTTGTAGCCAGACACAACTCATATCTGTCAGGAAACAAGTGCTGGCACAAAGCAACTTTTTGTAACTGCTTCTACATAAACTAAATCAGTGTTACCACCTAACGTATCTGATAACGTCACAAAAACCCATTTGGTAATGCCTTAGTTTTATAAGAACAACTTTCTTTCCTTAATTTAATACAGATAGCATCTACATTTCTCAGGGCAAGGAATAATGTTTGAAACAAAATGATTAATTGAATGGCAAATGCTGGAAGTAATTCCACACTAAAAAATTATAGCCTGACTTAAAATATACTAGAAAACCAAAATGACACTTTTTCAAACAGTATAAAGCTGCCAGAGCCAAATAATATTATATGTATTACATTTGTCCCACTACTATTTTTCCTCTAAGTAAAATCCCATTTTAACATATAAGGCATCCTAGAAGATTTTAAATTGTAATAAAATATTTATTTTCCAAATTTCTTTTAAAATAAGCTTTCTAATGGTAGGTATTTATAATTTTTGTCATTTAGGTCATAGGTGTGGGATCCTGTTTTATATGGCACCTTGCTACTCTGGAACTTTTTCTTTTAGCTTTTTTTCTGTAAAAAAATCTCTGCCAAAAAAAGCAGCGGATGGGAAGCCATAAAAGAACTTTAAAATAATAAAAAAAGAAATTAGTGAATGAGTGATCTAAACCTAACCATGAATTCTATTCCCATGACCTACAAAAAAAATGAACAAGGAAAAGACAAAGTCAAGACTGTGCACCATATCAAAGCAACACAATCTTATCTATTACATACAAAAAATTTTAAACACAAAATAAGCCATTAAAATAAAGTATTCAAACATGGATTTGTGATAAGAAGGGATTGTTCATTTTTCCAAAACTGACAAACCTGTGCTAAATTTGGTACTCCTAATGGCTCACAGGAAAAGGAAATAATTAAACAGGAAAGTAAGAAATACAGCCTTGCTTTAGACTTTTCCTTCTAATGTTTAAAAACCTACTTTTTTTTATGTTGTTGTTGCTGTGACTTCCAAAGTTTGATGGAACTTGGAAAAACAGCCTTATCACTCTTAACAGATACAGTATCACTGCCTCTGACACCAAAGAAATTCTGCATTGTTGCTGTTCTTTTCCCCTTTCCTATTATCCTTCCTTTAGACCCTTCCCTAGTGATGCATTCTCAGTTTAAAAGGTGCAAACTTTATATATGTTTTGACAGAGGATGTGTAACAATGTTAAAAATTGAAGTATTTTCTGAAATGGATTAATTTCATGTTTTACTTTGTAAATAACTTACATGGTCTTTACTAAACATATAAATACTCAAATTCTTCTGTTCAAAGAAGTGCATAATTTCTTGAAAAAGTTTAAATTATGAACACATATTCCTTTACTTGCAAGGAATAAGTGTTTGCACAGGAGCTACACAGTGTACTTCTGAAGTAAATTTGCAGTGTTAAATGAAAACTTGGCACACCTAATGCCAGTGTACATTTGCTGCTGACTTTGGAAAGGCTAGGATTTATGCTGAATTGTACCAAATGTAAAAATCACTTTTAAAAAAATAATAAGCAAATTATTATGATTCACCGAAACTCAGTATGGCTGCTGATAGAGTGCTAGATCTGCAAAATAACTTATGAGCCTAACTCCTACTACACACACAAAATTCAGAAATTTATATCTTCCAAACACACTCCATGTGGAAAATGAAATTTCATTTAGGCACAAAGGAAAAAAAAAGGCACGGTATCTTTCTTTTTTACACTGATGACTATTAGTTCTCAGAATAGTAGAAAAGACGTAGTAACAACATTGAACTTTATGAATGATGTGTCACCATCACAATTCTTTTGTTATATCTGGAAGTTTACATAATAAAAGCAAAATAAAAGGCACAAATACTTTTTTTTGCCTCTGTTACACAGTACAAAGTTAACACTGATTGTAAAGAATTTTCTCTATATTATTAACCAAAAAAAATCCCTGCCCTTTGTGAGCAAGATCAAAATCAGGACAGAATCTGAAACACCTCTCCCTAACTAAAATCCTTCAACATGTAAAAACATGCATGCTTGTATGTGTGTGTGTTTATGTTAGTGTTTGAAAAAAGAGGACTGAATGGTGGATAGAGACATAAATATGTACCAAGTGCAACAGGCATTCAAAAATGGTGCTTGGCTTCAAGGAAAAGTCAAGTTTCCCTGATAGTCCACAAAACCCGTGGGGCCTGGCAAGTCTACTCCCTTGGTTTGGTGGTAGGGAGAACTCCTGAGAAGTTTACCCAGTTTGCACAAGCTCTGTGCATCTAGGTTTTCCGGCCCTGATTCTAGGTCTTTAATTGGTGTTGCTTCCACAAGAAGTCCCCTCCACCATGATTGTTCCCCAGAGATGAACCCCACTGCTGTTCATTCAGATACTCAAACTCAGTACTTTGCATCCCAACTGTTTCATATTCTCAAATCTTCATGTCTACACTCGGTGTCCTATAACCCAGCTGCCCTTTACTCATGATGTTGATCCATCATTCCCACACCTCTTAACCCCACTCAGCATCCTACAACTAATTCTCTCACTCCTCATTTCCTACTGTCCCTTGCACATACACACATACGAATTCCTACCCTCGTGCTACAAGTGGCAAATTGGGAATCACTTGCTAAATTATTTACGTTTGGAAAGCAATGACAATATTTAATATTTCTCACATCCTATGTAGCTATCATGGCAAATTGCACTCCTGGAATTTCTGTTGACTGGGGCCTGGAGTGCTCCCCTCCTAAGAGTTTAGCTGCCTGCCTCAAAGCCAGATCATTGAAAGGAAGACAGAAGCTTGACAAGCCTCAGCCAGCCTTGGAGCTCATCAATAAAAGCTGGAAAGCAGAGAAGCAGAGGTTGCCCCAAACAGCTCTGTCAAGAAGCCTTGATGTGGCCTACCCTCCCTTTTCACTCAGCTTCACTGAAACTTTTAGGCTGAGACACTCTCGTGCTTCCTTCCTGCCTGAGAAACAGTGCAAGCTGCACAGCAGCAGCTAAGCCTGTGCTTGGCCATGTACCTCACTGACCGGATCCTGACCAAGTCCTCCTAGACTTGACTTCCTGCTTAACCTGGGGCTCCAGACTCACCTGAGTGGCTGCCCTGGTTACCTTCACCAGATATCCTCTGCTCTCACAGATTGATGGACTGCCCCTTGACCAACAAGACTACAACCTCTGCTCCCCTTGTTATCACGGCTGGCATCCAGTTTCTCTTCCCTTTTGGAGCAACTTGCTCTTGCTGCTGCTGAGTTAGGGATATAACCAGCTTCCTGCACAGCTTACTGGCTTTTCTTCAATTATGACTACTTTTTAATAATTAGCCCAACTTTCCGCTGACCTGAATAGAAGCATAAAATTTGAGAACGGAGTAAACACTGTCTGACAGCAGCATCCCATTTTACAAATAAACAACATTACCTCTTTCTCATTTTCCTGTATAATTATACAGGCTATACTACCAGGAAACTCTGCTGTACAGAATGACATTTAAATTGAAATGGTTCTGAATGGTGTTGATTTTACATACCTGAGGCACCCATTTGGATGAAACAAAACTGGTCACTTCTATTGCAGGCAGGCCTGTTTTGGAAAGCCGGTTGATTAACTCTATTTTGATATCAGCGGGGACTATCACCTATAGATATGAAGACATACTATAGTGAAGTATTTCATGTGGTAAGAAACTTCTGTAAGTGAAATGTTCTCACTATGTATCAATATTTATTTTTTAAATAATGAACTATATTCATACATCATATGGTAACCATACTGTTTCCTGGCAGTAGGAAGCTACTGCACAAAGAAAGCACTAAGCAATAAATATGATCCTACTCCATTTTCTGTCTACCACAAAAGAATGAGGAAGTACTTTTGTGTAACTGGCTATAGATCTGGCCTCATCAATTGTTAGTAACCAAACACCAACCTAGCAAAGAAGCAACAAAAGAAACACTAACACAGAAGATTTCAGAGAAAATTGGGAGGAAAAAAGCTCCACAGCTGAGGCAGAATAATTCCATCCTGTTAACACTGCAAACATCTTTGATATCAGTCACAACAATATTTGTAAGTTTATCCTCCTGTTTGTGGAAACAAATCACTGTTTCAATACACATATCCTATTTTCAATCTTCTTCCATGCTGCAAATAATATTATCAAAAGAGTATTTTCTTTTTTTCCTAGGAAGTATGACAAAACCTATGATGCTACTCCTACTACAGTAGCACGTACAGCACAAACACATATTATGAAGATAGCCAGTGTTTCAGGGCATTTGTCAATCATGTCATGATGGAACATTATTGACTAATGAGAAATTCCAGAAAAAGAAATGGCAATTGAGTAACGAAAAAGCTATTTAACCAAGTATAGAAAGAAATTATGTGATTTAACATCTGGCTAAATAGTAATATACTTTTATTCTAATATACAAATCTGTTATTAATATGAAAAGCAATAAATAGCATAGAATGGAAGAAACAATCAGCAGGATGTACGTGTTTTACACAATGAAAATAACAGTGATATCCATGTCAAAACACACACACACAAAAAAAGAGAAACGTTACCTTTTCATTTTGTAATCCATCCCTTGGCCCAACTTCTACAATTTTTATGTACTCAGGCAGTCCAGATGCTTGACATTCCTGAAATAAAAATCAATACTGAAACACAAAAACAATGAAGGCCACCAACATCAAAGGTACAGCTTGTACTTGTCCTCTCATATGATTCTGGGCATAAAGTCATATTGTCAACATTAAGTTTGTTCATGGATTTTAAAAGTCTGTGAGAACATGTTCCCCACCTTGAGTTAGGGAACAAAAGTGAAAAGCAGAAGTTATCCATGTGCATGTTCCACTGCTCCTCTGAGGCCACAAATGTTTATTGTAAAAATGTACATAAAACCATAAATGAACATTGTGTTTTACAGAGTGAGAAATAGTCCCATTTCAAAAAGCTTACTAACAAATGATCCAGTCCTCTAAACCTCTAACTGAATGTTCTCAATTTAACTGAACAGTTACTTCTCTGTGAACGTTTACATGACTAAGCTATAAATCTGAAAAGAACAGAGCAGGCAAGAAATATTGAAGAGATTATTAATGAAAGATGAAAGTAATTCCTCTGCCTGAAAATGAAGGTTTTAAAGAAGGATTTAAAGGAGAACAAGGAAGGGCCCTGGCAGACACAGAGACAAATTTTCCACATCTAAGAGCAGCTCTGGAAAGGCAGGAGGCTGACAGTGACAGGACGGAAGGAAGGCAGTGATAAGGTCAAAGGGCTAAGGAGAGCACAGGGAGCTGGAGGGGGAGGAAGGAGAAACAAGAGCAGAAAAGCAGGTGAAGAGAAATGAAACTTCCTTGTTTTATTATTTAGCCGCTCTGTTATTGAATCACGTTGACAGGTGTGGCAATTAACATACCCTGGGCCTTTAAGTCCTGAAGCTGTTCAGAGCAGTTGCTTGGACTGACCCCCAAAAGCTTTAAGAACACATCAAATAGCCAAGTTAGGGCATGCTGCCTGTGTGCCTGGAGGAGTGGACAGGAGGGAGGGACCTAGGTAGTCTCTCCAGGAGCTCTGGAGATGCCCTGTTTTCCTAGTGCATTGACTGTAGCATCCAAGACAGTGTCTTCACTGCAGCGTTGAAAACCCGTGCCGGGATTAGCAGCAGCTACCCGTGGGACCTGCAACCTCCCCTGAGAGTTAAATGCCACAGGACAGATGGTGCTGTCAGCCCAGGGGGATGGCTCCAGCCTGTGGGAGTCACTTCTGCAATGCACAAATATGGCCACTGCTCTCACATCACCCACAACCAGGTGAAAAACCTATTTTTCATCCCTCCCCGATTAGTATCATCAAGGTTGTTTCAAGCAAACAGCCACTAACTTCTCTTTACGCTAATGCAAAATGAGCATTCCTACAGCACCTTTGGTTTCTCGGCACATTCTTGGTGCCTGTGGATAAAAGTAAATTCTTTACAGTACTAGACAAAATACAATAAACATATTTCAGAGCATTTACTGTGTATTTATCTGAGCCCAGTAAAAAGAATGGGAAACAGCTGTACAGTATCTATTTGATCACGTGGAACATCTGGTTAAGCTAAAACTCTGTCAGGCTGTGCTAAGGCCACACTCGCTGACAGTATAAACCTACTTAAATGCAAAGGTAAAACCTTCACATCTGCTGTGTATTGGTTTTTTTTTTTTTTTCAGACATTTTTGCAAATATGGCACTGCTTCAGCACTATGGGCATAAATCCGGGTCATTTCATGATTATCAGATACTTCTTGTTACAAGACAAATGCCACAGCTGCGCTATGAGTAAGGCTGTGACTGGAAAAAAAGAAAAAGAAAGAGCTGAAACAGATTATGTGAACCAAAGCTTAATTTAGAGCATGAAAAATGTCCATGAAACTTTGGTGGCAAAAAATGTTCAATTTCTAGGCCAAATCCTGTAAATCCTATTCAGTTTGTACAGTGGAAAAAACCTTGCTGAAATCAAAGAGCTGTACCTGTCTTTACAGAACAGTTCCCACAGCTCCAGCCTGTGCAGCAGCCATTCACACAGCAGTTCAGGGGATTCTGTGAGGTACAGAAGTTTGGAAGGGACACTGCAGAAAGGCATTCAAGCACTGATTTTTATTCACCATCTGTGATATTACAGGCACACAAACTCTTAGAGCCATAGTCCAAGTCTCTCATCTCCTGATTTTCTCTATAGACTTCCTGTCCACTAGTCAGTCCCAACTTGAATTCACTGTTCTTGAACACAACACTGAGAAACATGCAGAGGATGAGCCTCACAAGGGCCACATAGTGGAAACTCACGACAGCACTACAGATGAATCCTTACCCTCTGTGAGCTGATGAATTAACAGCTTAGAATAAATACATTGGCTCCAAGTTCAGAAGTTTTGCTTTGCATTGGATTTCATCTAGTTCCATCTATAGTGCATTGATTGCTCCTGCCTTCAAGGTCACTCAGTTCCTCCTGTGTGGCATGTAGTGTGGTACCGATAACAGCTCCTGTCTTTCTGTTATCTGTAGATCTCAGCATCTAGGTATTTTCTGGTGAAAATATTTGGACTAACACTATTACTTTAACTCAAAAATATCAGGTTAGTGCTACAGAAGAAACAAGTTTTTGAAAAAGACCTGAGGAACTCCACCAGCAATGTCTCTTTGGTCTAATAAATCTGCTTTCAACAATATCTCTTATTTCCTCCTCAGCAAGTTTCTTACTCGTCTCACAAATTCCTTTCTGATCATCCTTCTCCCCAGAGTAAATAGTAACCTCTCTTTTGCTGCACTGCTGAAGTTCAGATAGCAAACAAGTAAAAGGGAGGCAGAATACTGAGGTTCAAGCCCTTATGTACTATTTATGCAATTTACAGTGCATAATCACTGGATAAAACTCAGAAATAAGTTACAGACTGCAAGAGTACATTGTACCATCTGATAAGATGACTCTAGCATTTTTCCATTCTGTGGCCCAAGCTGAGTCAAAGGACTAACGGAGTACCTCTTCACCTTAATCTCACTTGTCCTATGAATGAACACTCAGTAACTAACCGTTAGGACATTCTTCCAAGATGTTGGAGGTAGGTACTTGACAATGCTGTCAGAAATTCAAAAGAGACACTCTGCTTCCTTGGGAAGTCTTCTGATCAGTGTCACACTTGCAGAACTTTTGGACATAATCCAGCTGGAGACGTCAGCTGAAGAAGCCACCAGTCACATTCTGTGCCAGGCTCAATGTCATCTGCATTCACTAGGCAAGCTTCAAACCCACAGCACAGACTGAAGACGTTGGGAACTTTTGCAGAGTTTTATCACTTCTCTGTTTACAATCTGGATGGCATTAGACCTTAACCGGGACTTGGGCTTCATGAACCAAGAGATCAAGTTCCCTGAACTCTAACTGGATAATTCAAAATGTGCACCATGCCCCTGAGTAAAAGGAAGGATTTTCACAACCAACAATGAATCAAACTTATAGAGACTTTTGACACCTTCAAGTATGGCATTAAAAAGTCTACAGATAATAAATAGAAAATATAAATAGAAATAAATAGAAAAATGAAAAATAGGCTTTATATTTTAAAAGAATCCAGAAAAGGTAAACCTTACAGAAATACACAACTATTTCCATTAAACACTAAACACGTCAGCTAAATCATTTTGTTTCAGAAAAAAAACCTATTTACTAAATTGTATTATATTAAATATTTTTATGTAAATAAGTATGAAAAGTAGTTACGGTACATACTTAGGGGTGACTGGTCATTGAATTATATAATGGCTGCGTTAAAAAAAGTACCAAAGTACAATGTTTGAAATATCAAAAAGGAAATAGTTGACATAAAAGACTAAGAGCCTGGAAAAATTTTTTTTCCATGTATCAATCCTTGCCAAGGGAGAACAAAAAGCATATAAAACCACAAAAAAAAACTGCCTCTCTCAAAACAGAACACAGCCAAAGGGTCTTTAAAAAAAATAGAAAAGGGAAAATCATACATTCAGCTTGAGACACCAAATGCCAAATTTCTGTATGGAACCATTTTCCCTGAGTTATAAATAGCTGGAAATTCAAGTTTATTATAGAAAATCCTAGTAACCCTTAATTAGAGCAGTATAATCTTCTTAAGATAACCATAAATGTAATCAAATTTAATGAACAGACTATTTTAAACTCTGTCACTGCTTCATGACTTCTAGCAAAGGTGATGAGGTTCCTTCAGCCTTCTGATTTTTATTCCATTCAGCTCATTCATACAGACATTAAAACCACTGGCAAATGTTACACAGAGCTGCTCAAAAGTAACTGAAAGGAACCAAAAGTAAGGGAAAAGAATCTGGAGGGTTCAGGTCTTTCCAGTCCTTCTAAGCAAAGATGAAGCTCTGCTTTCCTTTTCCACAAGGTGGTGTTCTGGCACAGAGGACAACTGAACAAAAGTGGGTCCATCTTTTACCTGGAAGAATTATTCACAAGAGCAGTTTTAGAAAAGAGTCATCAGGGAGGTGGCATCGTAACTCCATATGTATATGTGCAGTGACATGGAGAAATGCCCAAATACTGAGAGAAGACTCTGAGATAAATAATACAACTGCTGGAAGGAGAACAAATTAAACAGTGGTCAATCTTCTGAACACATAGATGTCTCTAAACTTTACAAGACATAGAGGAAATAGACAGGAAGAAATTAAAATCTTAATACATAATGAAATAATGATTGAAGTGGTATTGCAGAGGCTTGTTTATATAGTTTGCACTACTGGAAGGCAGCTATAAAACATTAATTCCCAAGTTAACTAGGGGAGAAATGAAGAAGACTCACCTGTGAAATATAAATATTGTTGTAAAGTATAAGATAGGGAGTACCTGACTAAACAGTTATACAGAAAAGGACTGAGATATTAAAACAAGTAACAAACTAAATATGAGTCAATAACATCATGCTCTCAAGAAAAAATAAAAAAAAAAAAAAGAAGAAAAGTGAAATGTCACATCTAACTCTAGGCTATAAACAGGGATGTCATAGATAAAACAGTAGCCTGGCACTTCATGAGCAGAAATACTGTGTCTAGCTTTGGACTTCCTGCGTCAAAAAATAATTCAATCAACTGGAGATCATCCATA